TTGGAAGATAGAAATATAAATTTCGAATTGGTTATTGAAATTTTAATTTGGAATTAAAAATGTTTTGCTTGAACTCAGAATTTCAAGTTCTTTTCTAAATTTAATGTCAAAATACCACGTCTTCATTTTGCATTTTGTCTAAATTGCAGAATGAATATTGAATATTGACATTGTTCTACGCACTAGTGCGTAAAGTATTTTTTTTACGCACTACTCAAAATGAATGGATTTTTTATCTTAAATTTCGAACTCTTAAAAAAATCGGGTTCAAATCGAATATAAAAAAAGTTTCAAATTTTAAACTTGATATTTCAAATTCGATAATTTAAATTTTAAATAATTTAAAATTTATGATTTTTTACATTTGAGGAATTTCAAGTTGCAACTCGAAATTTCTAGTTCTAGATTTACGAAATCAGAATTTTGATTCGAAATTTCAAATAGAGCGACGAATAACTTAAAATTTCGTATTGAACTACATAATTTGACGTTCCAACTTGATATTTTAAATTCAAGCATGACGTTGTGATTTTCAGATTAAATAGGAAAAATAAACCTCGAATCGAAAATTAGTGAAATATATAGAATTCGAGTTCAAACTTGTTTAATATCGAAATAAATCAGTAAATAGTAATAGAAACAATTTTTTTATAACTGAAATTAGTAAATAAAATAACGGGTAGGAATTTGATTTTTATCGAAATCCTTACAATTTCGATCGAGGTATAGTCAATTAGGTTCAAATTCGAAATTTGCAAATCTAAATACGAAATTTTGGACTTAATAACTCAAATTGAATCGTGAAATTTCGAAATTATGATTTAGTTTTAAATTTATTCAAATTGCAGTTTGAAATTAAAAGAAAATTGCGAATTCAAATATGAAATTTTAATTCGAAATTTTTTACGTTCCAACATAAATTTAAAGCTCGTAGATGAAGCTGCAAATAGAAATGTGAAATATAAGTTTCCTCTTCAAATTTCATAATCAAACAATTGCAAATATGAACACGAAAAATAACCTAAGAAAATTTTCAGAAGTGTAGTAAAATTTTATTTCCCCCTATATTTGAGGTACTCGTAGGTTTACAAGAATCTTCACGTTTTGTTCTATTTTTGTAGCAATTTAGTTTTCGTCAGAAACTTTTTGTGTAAATTCGAAAACGTGAACATCGCTGGGTATTTCAGATAACCATGTCATACAGGTAAAATGTAACATTTTTCGTCGATTATCCCTTACGTTTTGAACGTATGCATGCAAATATTAAACGGTATTCGGAGTAATGACGCACGCCGAGAGAATAAAACTAATCTTATTACCAAAATGAAAAACTACAGAGATGACCATCCCTGGAGTTTTGAACATATTTTCAAGAGATAATGCCAAATATGTGAGTCTCTCATTTCCCTCGAGAGAAAACAGCTACTATTTTCTCCACTCGTTGGTCCTTAAATAGATAGTTACTGCCCAGGCTGTGACCTCGTAAAAATATTATCTGGTTATAAAGCTCCTAGAGAGGAATTATCACGTTTTATATTTCTTATACCGGGACATCTGACGGCTGCGGATGGTGTCAAGTAAATACTTGAAATTGCAACTGTAATTTATTATTGCAGGAATTATATATCGCGCGCACTTTATTAAGAACAGAAATTGAAACCTTGTTTCGTCTAACAGGTACCACAATATTTGTGTAGATGCGACTGCACAAAAGGACGATTGCGTCTATTCAGAACCTTAAGAATGTAATAAAATATGTAGCATTGAAATAACGCCTATCAGTTTAAGAATATGAAAATTTAGCATATTCAGAATATTAGGAGCATCTATGACATTCTGAATTTATTTGTAGTGGATTTTTTCGCCGATCTTGTAGGCTGATAAAAGAAAGTCGAATTAATAATTCTTGTTGAGGAATTCGGACCATCGGGTATCCTCTATGTACTTTGAAGGATATTTTAAATGACGAAGTCGCGTACTTTCGACTTCACTTCAATATTTATTGTTGCCAGGGTTCCAAATGATTAAAGCATAATCCAGTTTGGAACAAAAGAATGATACAGTAAATTTAAAAGTTGAGTACCATCAAATCCCATTGAATTCCGAATAACAAAGCCCAAGCTTCTGTATGCAGATAAAACAATATTATTAACAACGCTACTTAAAACTAAACAGAACTTCTGAACTCAACTACCCTAGTTCAAGCAATATTCTTTACTTTGTAATTGATGTGAACAGGAACTTCATTCTTATTGAAAGACAAAATGTTACTTTCGTTAATGTTTAGAGAGGGCTTATCCAGAGAACACTATTCATTAATTTTATTAAGATTACTTTGAAGTGGTTCACATTCGTAACAGTTGTTCACAGCATGATACAATTTCATAGGTATCATCAGCATAGAGCAACAAGTAAACATCAAGATCAACAGTGTATCATTAATACATAAATTAAATAAGAGTGGCCCAAGTATTGACCTTTGAGGCGCATCGGATGAAACCAGAAACATGTTAGACTTAAAACCGTGACATATTACTTTCTGTTTGTTCGGTGGAAAGTTAAAAATAAAATTAAAATAGTATGGTATCCCACACCACACCCCACACCAAAAATTTTTTATATTTTTGATATCTGTAAGCATTTCAGCCCTAACAATATAAATCTCTTTTTAATTAATTACAACAAAATGGATATTCCACTCTAACCCTCCAACTTTGTCATCTCGTTGTTATTAAATTTAAATTAATTGCGATAAAAGCAAAGCGATAACAGATAAATTCAAATATGTTTAAAAAAGTTTTCTACTTATAGGCTCTTCAAGTTTAAGTTTAAAACTTCAAGTTCTAATTTGAATATTTGTCTTCACGTCTGCAACAACTTGTTATAGTGTTTGTTTTCCTATAGATACGAGTTTTAGAATTTTAAATATGATATTCTCATGTAAAACATGAAATTTTGAGTTCTAATTAGTAATTTTAATTTAAAACCTGATGTTTCGACGTCTAATTATGAAATTCAAGTATATTTTAAGTTTCAGTACAAAATTTACAAGTTATGAAACTTAAGTATGACATTTATAGTTCTTATTTGAATATTAATTGTGTACCTAGAAGATATTTTAAGTTTCAACTTGAAATTTTGAGTTCCAACAACGAATTTTTGTTGAAATCCCTTGTTCAGACAAGAATTTTGAATTGATTCGACTTAAAACAAGACATTTTAATTTAATTAGAAATTTCAATTTAAAACATATCTTGAGTTCTAATTTTGAAATTCAAGTTTCAGAACTATATAAAGTTTACTAATAAGTACAGAAATAACGCGAAAAGTTCCAATTCAAAATATCAAGCTTAACCATGAAATTTCGAAGTCCCAACTTGAAATTGAGTTCCAACTTGAATTTCAAGTTAAACTAGTTACAGTGCAAAATTTAATAGTACATATGGTAGTGTATGATAATTTCAGTTTAAGGGTGAAATTTCGTGTTCGTCTTTGAAAATTCAGATTAAGATATGAAATTTTGAGTTCCAAATTTAAGTTAAATTTAGAGTTTTACTATAAAATTTATATGGACCGAAATAGTATTATGAAGGTGAACTTGAAATGTGCTGGAGTATGAAATTTCGATTCTCATAAAATTTTGAGATTGAAATTGAAACTAAACTTCAAGTTTACAAGTTCCAACTTGAAATTTTGAGTTCCAACTTGAAATAGAATTTCAAGTTCAGGTTTAAAACTTGAAGTTCTAATTTGAAAACTTTTTGTACCGACCAAAGTCTTCACGTGTTTTTTTTTATTTTTTATTTTTTTGAATCGAAATTTTAAGTTTCAACTTGAAATTTTGAGTTCCAACAACGAATTTTTGTTAAAATCTCATATTCAGACAAGAATTTTGAATAGATTCGACTTAAAACAAGAAATTTTAATTTAAGTAGAAATTTCAATTTAAAACATGATATTTTGAGTTCTAATTTTGAAATTCAAGTATTTTTTTAGGATTCAGAACAATATAAAGTGTACTAATAAGTACAGAAATGGCACGAAAAATTCCAATTCAAAATATCAAGCAATGTCGAAGTCCCAACTTGAAATTGAGTTCCATCTTGAATTTCAAGTTAAATTTTTAGTTACAGTGCAAAATTTAATAGTGCATATAGTAGTGTATGATAATTCAAGTTTAAGTGTGAAATTTCGTGTTTTTATTTAAAAATTCAAATTAAAATGTGTAATTTTGAGTTAAATTTCGAGTTTTACTATAAAATTTATATCGACCGAACTGGTATTATGATGATGAACTTGAAATGTGCTGGAGTATGAAATTTCGAGTCTTATATAAAATTTTGAGTCTCTTGCTATTTCACTTGAAGAGTTTTAACTTGAAATTGAAAGTAAATTTCAAGTTGTATTATAAAATTTACAATATTCAACTTCAAATTTTAAGTTCCAACTTGAAATTGTAATTAAATTTTAATTTCAAGTTCAAGTTCTAATTTGAAAACTTTTTGTTTTGTCTTCACGTCGGCAACAATAAAATTTCAATTTCAAGTTTAAGTTTAAAACTTCAAGTTCTAATTTGAAATTTACCAATTATGAAAGTTAAGCATGACATTTATAGTTCTAATTTAAACACTAATTGTGAGGAAGACATTTTAAGTTCCAACTTGGGATTTGGAATTAAGTTTGAAACTTCAAGTTCTAGTTTAAAAACTTGAACTTGAATTTAAGTTCCAACTTGAAATGTTGAGTTCCAACTTTCAATTTCAAGTTTAGGTATAAAACTTCAAGTTCTAATTTAATTACATTTTGATCCGATCAAATTTGTCTTAACGCCTGCAACAACTTGTAATAGTGTTTCTTTTTTTATATTTTTGTGAATCGTTAGTTTTAATCGCAGAATTGTTACGAATAATCGGGATTCGATGTGCGATAGCTGAGACCGCTGAAGCTGAATCGGCAAAACATTTCGTGAAAGTTTTTAGTCGTTAAAATAGTGTGCTTACCACATTCCCCGGCATGTTTAACTCTGGTATTAAGGCGGGCTTTACATGAAACCACGCGGAGCTGACAGTGATTAGAGTATGTCTTCCCATCAGTACCACAGACGGGATCCACCTTCTGTTTGCAGAATGTTGGGCACTGACACAGCGCCCTTCCGTCAGGGCCGTTGATACAATGAGCTCCCCAAGCGCAGAACGTCTTCTCGCAGGGTTCTGTGGAAATTAGTACAATTAGTATATTAGTATAGGCTGCGTTAATAGGGGAAGTTAGGAAAGCTATATAATTTTATATCCCTTATAACTTTGCTAAGCAACTTGAGTTTTGCTGGGGTGAAATCCATCCACGTCAGGATTTTCATTTTTACGGCCGTGCCACAGAAACTCGAAAACAAACCGCTTTCGAGCACTTGTGCGACTTTTTTAATTATGTTGGGACATGCATCTATAATTAGTATTTTATTAGTATTTTATTTATTAGTGTCTAAAACTATATGTGAGTATATTTTCTACAATTTTATTATAAATTATATGAAAGCATAGGAAATTTATCTTGAAATGTAAGAGCTATAAATAAAAATTTGAAATTTTTGTCGTTAAATTTTAAACTGAAAATTCAAGTACGAAATTTACAACTTGAAATTCAGAGCTCAAATTTGAACTACCAACTTGAAATTTCAGTACTTACTTTGAAACGTATATTTTTAGCGTCGAATTTAGAAGTTGTAGTTAAAAAAATACAAGTGCGAAATTAAGTTTTAAAATTCCCAAACCTCATACAAAAAATTTCGAATGCCAACTTGAAATTTAAATTTTTTAGTATGAAATTATGAGCTTTGAGTTAAATTTTCGAGTTTTAACACAAGGTTTAAAGTACTGAAAGAGAATTTTAAATTTCAACATGAAATTACAAGTGCAAGTATGAAATTTTAGTTGTTACTTAAAATTTTTATTTAAAACATGGAATTTTGAATTGTAATAACTTCTATTTGAAACACGGTATTTTGAGTTTCAGTTTGAAACTTTCATGTTTAAATCCCAAAGTTCGAAATATAATTTGAAATTTCAACTTGAATTTGAGTTCAAGTTCTAATTTTAAACTTAAAATTTAAATTAAACAAGAAATTTGACTTCTAGTGTCAAATTTTATTGAGGTCTAAGGTTTTAGCACAAAATTTATAAATGCAAATACGAAATTTCCTATGGTGTATTGAAATTTCAAGTTCTAATTTGAATTACTAATTTAAAATGTAAACTTTAGAGTTCCAACTCGAAATTTTGTTTTAAAATATAATTTTTTTATTTTAGTTTGAAATTTAATTTGTTAATATGTATTTCAAGTTTAAATTCACAAGTTCGATTGCAAAAATAAAATTTTAAATTACAACTTGAATTTGAATTCAAGTTATAATTTTAAATTTTAGCATGAATGCGAATTTTTTTTAAAATCCCTTGTTCAGACAAGAATTTTGAATTGATTCGACTTAAAACATGAAATTTTAATTTTTAATTAGAAATTTCAATTTAAAACACGATATTTTGAGTTCTAATTTCGAAATTCAAGTATTTTTTAAGTTTCAGAACAATATAAAGTTTACCAATAAGTACAGAAATGGCGCGAAAGGTTCCAAGTCCCAACTTGAAATTGAGTTCCAACTTGAATTTTAAGTTAAACTAATTACAGTGCAAAATTTAATAGTACATATAGTAGCGTATGATCATTCAAGTTTAAGTGTGAAATTTCGTGCTCCTATTTGAAAATTCCGATTATTATATGAAATTTTGAGTTCCAAATCAGTCATAAGTCAAATTTCGAGTTTTACTACAAAATTTATATGGACCGAAATGGTATGGTGATGATGAACTTGAAATATGCTGGAGTGTGAAATTTCGACACTCATAATATTTTGAGCCTCTTAATATTTCACTTGAAGCATGATATTTAGAGTTCTAACTTGAAATTGAAACTAAACTTCAAGTACCAATAAGTACCGATAAGTACCAATTAAAAATACAAGTTCAAATATTAAATTTTAAGTTTCAATTTAAGATGAAATTTTTAGTTTCAATTTGAAATTTTAGTTACAAGTCAAGTTTTCATTAAAAATTATGAAAGTCAACTTGAAATGTATGACTTGGAACGTGAAAATAATAGTCATTTTACTGTTTCGATATTGTTTTGTTGTATTTAGAAATCAGAAGTGCATTTAGGAGACTGCAATTAATATTCAATTCATTTAAACATTCTTTGTCACTCTATACATTCGCAAAACACTTGTGCAGCATTTTAGGTGTAAAATCACGTCGGTATTTCCTGACGTACACGTTTGATGTTGGTAGTGTTAAAATGCTATTACACGCCGTTTGACTTTCGCTAAAGGGATTATAGTTATTGAGTGGGCATTGCAGCAAATGGCAAAATGTATGGAAATCTGGCTCGTCGAAAAAATCAATTAATTACAGCAGTACACGGGCAACGCAATTGTATTAAATTACCAATTAGATTAACAAGAGCAGAGCGGAGATGTTTGATTTCCCCCCAGGACGGATAAAACAGATTTTACCAATAATTACCGATTGCGAATTGCAAGTTTTCGATTACAAACATTTATTATCCTTTTTCGGCTAATGGCAATTACAGTGCCTGACTGACCGAACCAATTGAATCTTTCAATTAAATATTGAAATTCAAAGTTCAATTTTACCTCCTTAGAAAAGTAGAGTAAACTTCATCCTAACTTCTATCACAACAGAGTGCTGGCCGTGTTTGACAATGTTAACTCGGAATTGAAATTTAAGTTTAAACTTATTAACCTGGAACCATTGAACTGTATATCTAACATTTACTACCCTTTCGAATTCGAAACTATTAATTTCCAACTCCGAAAACTACAAGCAACGCCTGCTAGTCTTGATACATGAATAATAAATCAAAATCGCAGCTCCTTTCTGTGGCTTGCTTGATTACGTGCTGCGGAATTTTTCACAATATTTTTGTACACTCTGTATTTCAATCTGTTTTACTTGAAATTTATCTATTTATTTTTCACACTAGTGCATTATTTACCCTACAAAGACCCTAAACTTGCATTTGACCTTGACTCTAAGTTTCAAGGTCAAAACAAGATCAACTTGAAATTATTAAATATAACACCCTATTTCTTATGCCAGCAATTGATAGAGCGTCAAATTTTACGTTCGAAAATGGGGTCAGAAAAATTTTCCGGTATGTCCCCTTCAAGGTCACTTGGAGATCGAACTAATTTTGAGTAATAACTCTAAAAGATCGAATCGTGGAAGAAAATGTTTCAAGAAATTTTTGTATAAGATTTTGAATGACAAATTCTATTATGACCTTGGATTTGACCTTCGCATGTTGCAAGGTCAAACTAAGGTCTAAGTTTGATCTTTAAGCGACCTGCAAGGACATACTGGGCCGTAAAATTTTGCTGGGTGTTCTGTTTACTATTTTGAAGTTGGCCTTGGTTTGACTTGAAACTTAAGTCCAAGGGCAATTCCAAGCGTGATGGTTTCTTGATATCCAACAACTTTCATCTGAAACTTTTTTTGATGTATTTTTCTTGAAAAGTTATCGGGGTAGTTAGGTCCTTTTGGTGCACCCTGTATATTTTCCTTAGGGCTTTTTAATGTAAAAATGTAGGATGTAATGAATAAATTCATTGTATTGTGCGAGGACAGGTAAACGAGGTATCTATTATCTTAAATGAATAATGAAATCATTAGCAATTATTTCGAGGCGTACTTCATTATATTTTTATTTTAATATTCTTTTAGCGTGATGTTCTAGCTTCTTTCTTTCGCACGCTAGGACTTAATGAATGGTTGATTGATCGAAATGCATTTCGAAATATATAATAAACTCCTATTCATTAGCTGAGTGAATTGAAGTGATTGTTAATTCCATTTTTCAGATGCAAATGATTTTAAAATTACACGTTTATTAAAAATTGCTTAAAGAATTGTAATTGCAATTTAAACGATTAAAGTATGAGCATATGTTAATTAAATTACGCACAATCTGTTTTACGCGATGGTGCGTAACGTGTTTCATTTTATGTACTCGCGCCTAAAATAAGAAAGTAACAACCCTGACAAATCAAAATATAAACTATTTATTATTTTCGCACTAGTGTCTGAGATATTTACATTACGCACAACGTTCATATGATTTTAAAATTACACATGTTTATTAAAAACTGCTTAAAAATTTGTAATTGCAATTTAAATGATTAAAGTATTAGCATATGTTAAATTAAATTACGCACAATCTATTTTACGCGCTGGTGCGGAATGTGTCTCATTTTATGCACTCGCGCCTAAAATAAGAAAGTAACAACCCTGACAAATCAAACTATAAACGATTTGTTATTTCGCACTTGTGTGTGAGATATTTACATTACGCGCAACGTTCATAAAACTATATTTTTTAGTTAATTTGAATCCGAATATATGTTTACGTACCGAGTAAAATATGTCCTTTTAAGGACATCGAACAAAATATCAAGCATGCTAGGCATATCCAGGCAAAGTGAGTGGAATGTTGAGCCTCAGAATCCAGGAATACGTCAAATTACAAGTGTGTTTCCGGATATCTTCCCAAGTTGGCAATGTGTCTCTATTTGGTATACGATGCCATTTCTCAAAATACCACGGTTTTAACATTTCGGTATCACTCATATGTTGCTAGATTTTATTTGTTTCAACTAAACTACGAGATACAACACTAAAATCATGCACTATCCTATATTCCCGTCTAAGACTTATTTGTCACTCCATACTCGCGTTGTTCTCTTTTGATAGATGTTAACATGAAAACGCATCTGAACTAAAACACTGAAATATGGAAGCTTCACTTGTTACAAATGAATGGTAAGTAAAGTAGTTTCAAACAAACATTAAATCTATTCATTTGTCACCTGTAACCCTTCTCACTTGATTTGCATATAATTTATTGCCCATTTCGAATTAACGCTGCATATAAACTAAGTAAACTTTAAACAGTACGCTCAAAACAACCAGTGTTGCAGCAACATACAATCTGGAGACAAAATATTATACTAATTTGTTGACGGGCACAATTAGGTTATTTAATATAGAGCGAGAGATCGTCAGTGTTTTGGAGCGGCGTACTTTATATTATTTCTTTGCACGTTCCAATACCATCTTTATTTTTTTGCACTAGTGAATAAAATATTTATTTTACGCACTATTGTAGTGTACAGTGTGCGTAAAATTAGTATTTTACAAAAGAAGTAGGAAAAGAAAATTTCTAGACCAATATTTAGAACGAAATAGGTAAGGTAACTGTGGATTATTAGTTGCATATTATCTTTAATTTTTACACTAGCGTGTAAAATATTTACTTTACGCACTACTGAACTGTACAATATGCGTAAAATTAGTATCTTATTCAATCAATGGAAAAAGTAAAGGTTTAGACTAATATCTAGAATGAAATAGCATAGTAAGGTAACTATGGCTTATTTATTTGCATTTATTTTTAGAAATAGCGCGTAAAATTAGTATTTTATATAAGGTAGTAGAAAATACAAATTTTCGTACTAGTATTAGAATGAAATAAGTAATTATAGATTATATTTTGCATGTATCAGTATCATCTTTACTTTATGCACTAGTATGTAAAATATTTACTTTACGCACTAGTGTACTGTACAGCGTGCGTAAAAATAGTTTCTTATGCAAAGGAGTAAAAAGTTGGGACTAATGAAATGAGATAATAAGGTAATTATGAATTATTACATTGCATATATTTTTATTTTGTACACTAGCATATAAAATATTTACATTACGCATTAGTGTGCGTAAAAATGGTATTTTAAGTATAGTAGTGGAAAAGTTTCAGACTAATGTGTATGTATGTGTATCAATATATTGATTTTTTGCACTAGTGTATAGAATATTCACGCTCTAGTGTAGTGTACAGTGTGCGTAAAATTAGTATTTTACGCAAGACAGTGGGAAAAGAAAATTTTCTAGGATGAAATTACGGCTTATATCTTTGCATGTATCAACATTGTCTTAATTTATTGCACTATTGTGTAAAGTATTTGCCTTACGCACTAGTGGATGCGCGAAAAAGTAGTATTTTACGCAAGGCAGTGGCTGAAATTCAGACTAATATCTAAAAAATGTATTATTCATTTTTATTTATTTTGTTTAACTCATTGATTTCATAAGCTTCCCGTGAATTTTGTCTTCTGACCACCGTATAAACAAAAAAATATGAAATTGGATGACGGTACTAAATCATGAAAACGTTGGTGGATTCCATAACGAAGGTCATTATGCAAATTTGTCGGTACATCGCAAAACTAATTTGTATTTCTATAATAATCCCGGAAATAGCAAAGGCACATCGGGGTGATATCTATGTATTACAGGCCCAATTATTTGTATATTATCTGTAGATACTACCATAGATTCTGTCGATATCCCAAGAGACAAATTCGTGATCTGTGTAATATTACACATACGTGTTTATTAGGGTACGGTATATTTTACCCTTTAATATCCCAACGCATTAGATTGTAGTCTACGGATTAAAACGAACGGTTTGAGGATAATCTCGTTCAAGAACACTTTACTGCAAAGTGAAGTCAATATAAATGCAATAACTTTACCTCGCTTTCGATATTTTCAGTTGTCAAAAGTAGTGCGTAAAATAGTTTACTCGCGCTGTGTACACTACGTAATATCTGTGTGTGCACTAGTGCGACGGAGGAGTAACATTTAATACAGCAGCTATCATCATGGCATTGTTTTTGGCACTAGTGTGTCAAATATTGACGCACTAATGCGAACACTTTACGCATAGTAGAATAAAGAGTGTTATAATCTGTCTCGGCTTAATTTCCTTAAAATAAATGTGAAGTATTTGTTTAGTTTCACAGTACCTACGTATAACAGAGGGGGAAGCCGTAGTGGGAATGTTATTAATGACTATGAAAAATGAGTTTTTTGAAAAAGTTTTCATTTCTTAACTCCGCAAAGTGTCGCGCGGTGATATATTTACGTATAAAAGTGATAAATTTTGGTGTTTCTGTGCACGCTGGAGTTCCCAACAAAATACACATTTTATCAGATGGCATTAAAATGAAATAGCATTACAGGTTTTAAGGCAAAATCGATACAACGTTAGCATCCACTACCGCAAAAAGGGCAACAAAAAATAAATTATAATATCATTTATCAAAGTAATTTTAACGTTACGTCATAAATGAGGACGGAAAACGTAAACTGACAACAACCCTTATGACGGCTGTGTATATATATATATGCGACTATGAATGTGAAATATAGATCTACCCACCCAAATATGAACGCGCCAGATGTGAACTTACACCCTTAAAATTTATCAATTGGATGCTACCTCGCAAAACAGATATATTTCTATAAATCTTTATTGACGCACGAGAAATTAAGGCCACTTGTGTCACATATGTATCGCTATATCGATTAAAAATTAAAATGTTCCAGTAATTCTTTTACCTCCCAAACTAATTTTCAAACGCAGAACCATTAAAGAGTTCGTCTTTTAAATCCAACTTTGCTCATATAGGCCAATCGGTAGCTTTAAATTGCTATTTAAGCCACTACAGGGTAGTGAAATTTAATAGGGTGTCCCTGAGGATGTTTTACGTAGACGGATGAAACTTAGGCTAACAATTTAATGAACTAATCTATTTCAAAATAAAATTAGACAGTTTTTACTTAGAAAACTGGGAGGGAACGAGGTGAGTTCCTCTCGAAAAAATACTGGGGGTTATTTTAATTATTACAGAGTATCAAACAATTAAATTGTAAATAGGTAATTAAAAAAAATACGAAAATAAATAATTTTTTAATATTGTTATTGCCCGATAGAATTTGTTATACTTGACCTAAATAAAAGTTGTTCAGCTCATTGGGGGAAGCAGTTGCTGACCTTGAATTTGGTCAACTTCATAATTTTATATAGGATCTTCTATTTTTTACGCTGGGAATGGATTCGGTAGAAATTTTGAGATCGGAATGTGATCTCAACTTTTACCTTGCGGTCAAGGTTAAGGTCAAGGTCACAGCGAGTTCAAATGATCCGTCACTTTTGAAGCAACCTCGGAATAAGATGTTTGCCCCCAAGTTAATGGGATTTTTATCAAGTAAAGGTGCAGGGGTAATCAAGGTCGATTTCTGAAGTCGACCTTCAAATGACTTTGAAAGCCAAGGTCAACTCTAAGGTTATGATTGGGTACCTTGATTTAAGTCATTATTTGTCACCAGATATACTATTAAATACAGAAATGTGTATGTTTGAAAGAAAAAACTATGTTTTCTTCTTTTGGTACTATTTTTAATTGTATACGAGAAGGGAAACCGTCAGATGAAACAATCCCAAGTGAAATGTGGAAATAAAAGATTTCTCTACAGGCCAATTGAAGGTCAACTTCATAATTTTAAATAGGACCTTCTATTTTTTACCTTGGGAATAGATTCGGCAGAAAATTTCACACCCGGATGTGATCTCAACTTTCACCTTGCGGTCAAGGTCAAGGTCACAGCGAGCTCAAATTATCCGTTACCGCTGAAGCAACTCAGGTGTATTTCCTGCTTTTCCGCGATCCAGCCTTAGGAGTACAGGTATCGATATAAAAAGAAACAAAGCCAACCTTCAAATCACCTTCAAGATTAAATCCAAGATCGCCGATCCATGGTCCCGACCGTCCTTAGAAAGATTTGAGGTCATCAATGTCGATTTCTGAAATACGTTCAAATGACCTTGAAGGCCAAGGTCAAGGTCAAATCCAAGGTCACGATTGAGTACCTTGATTTGAAGAAAGGTGTAATTAAATTAAGCTGAAATCTTGGAAAGATACAATTATTAATAATAATGAATTTACATTCACAAAAATCACAAAATTCACACAAAAATTCACAAAAAATCACAAATAAACAGTCAACACTGCGATTTTTTAAATGGTTTTTAAGAATATTAATTAAGAATATTAACAATACGAATAACATACTTTTCAATGATAATATTTTTATAGTTCACTATAGTTTACTCAGTTATACCCCTCGAACTACCCGCACCTACGCCTCTGCTGTTGGAAATAAATTGATCAGCACGTTTTCCTTAGGGCAGGGTTTATATTTATTCGTGTACAAATCTTGACATCTTCAAAGTAATACCTAGTAATAGTAGTTAGTCTTTCCGAAGTCAGTTGAAGATGTATAAAAACGTCTAGCAATAAAATTGAATAGTTTCATAGGCGTCCCTAAGAAAGTTTTCTGGTGAAGGTAAAAAATTATAATAATTTTAGATTAATAGGTGTCTATAATATATTAAAATTACCTGAATCACACCAAATTCCGCATTGCTGCACTGCACTGCTAGGCCATTTATTGACAACCGAATTTATGGTCAGGCGGCCCAGTGCGGCTGTGTTTGTGCCGCGTTTGCCCGCGCGGTCATTCTTCAACTGGGCGACTAGACCTGTATATGGGTATATAAAGTAAGCGCAGATTGTAGGCAGCCTTTAGCGCACATATCAGATAATAAATTTAAATTAGATGTCATATTATACACAGGTGATTTTAACATAAGGCTAGTTCTAGCCAATTGACAATATGGATACCAAACTAAAGAAGAGTATTCGAGCTTGGATCTAACGAAAGCATAATATAATATTTTTAAGTTATTAGGGCCTCTAAATGATTTGCTGTTTCTTATTATAAATCATAATTTCTTAGAAGTTGCCTTGACAATATAATCAATGTGTTGTAAAAAGTAAGTTCTTGCTGAAGATTGTGCGTCAGCAGTATACAAAAGCCTTTCACAATTTAGCACATTGTCAAGGTCGTTAATAAATAGGAGGAAGAGTAGCGGACCCAAGTTTGAACCCTGATGAACCCCCGATGTAGCTACATATGTCTTGGATTTGAAACTGTTAAATGTAACA